AGAGACGTTTCAGAGATGTCTATCTTTGATCGGCTGTCACAAAAAAATGACCCCCACTTAAATTTACTAGGAAAAATGAACTTACCAACTCCTTGTTGAAAAAATTGGAATTCATTTGACCGATACGCCGGTTGTTTCAATTTTGCTTTTTCCTCGGGCTGCTATAAAACAGTTCATAAATTGACTAATGAATAAAATGTTTTGAAATACCGTTCGGAATTTGCCTTTTTTTTCTGCGTGCAAATCAAGGGTAGACAAAGTTTTTAAAACATTTGACTAGAATTTCATGGAGTTCACCTCGATAATTTTCGTCGGCCAGAGTCAAGACGCGCCAAGGTAAGCGACATCGCCCTCCAGTAAAATAATTTTCCAAAGAATAAACGTGGCAAGCGTGAGGAAACGCACATTTTTTTTATCATTGTGATCAAAGCCCAATGATGTACCTAAATTGGTACTTACGGTATCAAACCATCGATTATGACAGGGTGAGCTTAATTTTTCTGTCGAGGTCGACGTGACTTCACATTAAAAGCGTTTTTGACGGAACAAACTAGTGAGCATCACTGCACGAACTGAGAAAGTAAAAACTTGTATTTATCTCCCACGCGTTTCGTCTGACAATAGTAGACTTCATCAAGGATTTTTTCAAGTAGGGTAAATAAGCTTGCTCATATACAAATAGTAAATAAGTTGTCTCTTTGCTATTGAAGCCAATGGATAGAATTCGCCAGGTGCGCCTACGGTGTTATACATGCGTGACATTTTCCGGACGTTACATGTACGAGTACGTGATCCGTTTGAGGGTCACAGATTTAGTGTAAATATTTCACCCCTCAACATCACGCAATGTCTCTAGTTTATAGAGGTCTTAGAACGTTTCATTATATGGAGTTGCCTTCTGCGGGTAGAAGGCTACAAGCGAATTTCTCAGGCGTAATTGCCTTTGATTTCTTAATTGATGTTGTCGCAAACCTAGTTTTTGGGAGTCACGAGACAAAAAAAACTTATCAGGACCTAGTTTCATGTTCTAATGGAAATAAATAGCAAATAAAAACACATTTTCTTGAGAAATAAAGTCACAAATGACGGGGGTTCTCTGAAACAAATAGTGATAGAAAAGGATTTCAGTTCTGGTCAATATTGACTTTTCACGGCCTACTTCCAAATCTGAGGGAACGCACTGAGGGAATAAAAAAACATAAATGTGTGATAATGCAAGCAAGAGAATGAAAATCCAAATGAAGAAAAAGGAGAAAACATAGGAACCCGTGTTGCAGCGTGCAGATATCTTTCGAGCCAGACCTACACACCTAAGCCCGACACCACCCAGAGAAACTCGAAAGAGTCCTGTATATGAACTAGCTCGCACGTGCACGCAGGAAAGGCCATGACAATCAGCGAAAATAATAGCAAATGCAAATGATATTTGCAGTCAAAAAACAGGAAAATAAGATAACAGAAGGATTAAGAACTTTCTAGAAGTATCTTCTTGAAAAAAAAAGATGAACAATTTTTACTTCTCATGAAAAGTCACGCAGTAACCCTACAAATACTATTTCTATACGTGGAATTTCTTGATGGTGGAAAGTGGAAAAAACATTTTCCAGTCTTATTTTCTGGAAACATGGCGTAGTTAATGAATTTATGGGGCTATTGATATTTCCTATCAAATAAGGGGGGCAGAGTTTCCCGTCATGCGCGGTATGGAAAAGCCGAAGTTGTTACACTCGGGAACTTGTACGTCAACAAGCAGGCGACATGTGACTTTAAAATCTCCTCTCCTGTTACAGTTTCCTTATTGTAAACTGTGCGATAATGATAATAGACGATCAAAGTATAGGCTAATGAATGTTTTGTTCTGTACAAGAGCCCTATGTCCTGATTTTAGCAAATCTTGAAAGTAATAAACGACTGAAGAAAGAAACGCAACGATTTTCCCATTGATTTTTCGTCAACATGCATCTCTCTAAACGTGAAATTTTCCATTCCTACAAAAAATCTCGAACGTTTTTAACATTTTTCACCTTTCTTGATCAATCATCTTGTATAAAGAACTAAAAAATGTAGGTTTATTTTGTCAAGTGACCGCCTAGAGCAAGAAGTGCGTGACAGGTGTAGTTGAGAGAAACTTGTCACAATCGCAGATTTTAAAAGGTATCCAAGACAAAAATACGGTAGTGCCCAAAGATTTTTTTGATGATTTTCAGAGATGAAATGATGGGTTATAAAGGGTAATTAAGATTAGTGTTGTAGCTTTCTGGCAACGGGAGATATTTGACCTCAAAGTTGTAAAATATTTAGATGAATCGAAAAGTCTAAAAACACAGTCGTATATTTGCCTCTGTTGATTGACAAGCCGTCAATCAAACTGACTGATGCTCGCGGCGGCCATTAACTAAGGATGTAAAAATATGTGTGCAAATCCTCAAAGTAATCAGTTAAATACCATCGCAGTGAGAGCTTCATATATTTTACCTATTTGAAGCGATTTCATTAGTGAAAACCAAGAAAAACCGGGGGGTGGTCTATCTCCCCACGGAAAAAACCAAAACAGAAACCAGTCTGTTTTTTTTAGTTTTGGGGTAGAGCCTTTAAACTGACAAAGTTTCATTGAAATCGGTGAGATGGCATGTAGCACGACCGCCCGGTGCTCTCGTGGACACGCTCTTAAGTCACTATCTAGCTGTTTTAGAAAGAAGGATCAGGACTTACCTAACTCTTAGTGTTTTTGTGGGAGTTGTTGATCCCAATTTAAGTGTTCTTAGAAGTTTCAGTTGTCTGTAAAGCTAAATAAATCTAACTGAAACCTAATAGGGCCTGTTTATTCTTTTCCGTTTAGTTTCTTTGTTTTGTTTTGTTTTGTCTTTTTTTTTTCTTCTGGTCTGTAATGATTTCAATGGTTTCAGGTTCTTTTCTCAGAATTGAGCTACAGTAATAGTATGCTTCTTTGTGTTGTTGCCTACAGGAGCCGCTGCTTGTGTTGAATTGAAGAGATTTGAAGAAGCAATCAGTTGGTGTGATAAGGGACTAGCTGTATCCTTTGAAGGAATCGTTCATTTTTAACCGTGGGTATAAAAAAAAAGTTTCCATAATTTGATGTTTCAAGGGAGAAAATACAAAGAAGGGTATTAATTATGATGGGAACTTGTCAGCTCATATACTTTAAGTGTGTGTGATTAAAAATATAGGAGACGTTATTACCTCATGACTTATTAATGAAATTACTCCTTTTAGCCAATTTGACTTAGTTCTACTATCCATGCCAATAACTGTTACATTAGTTTAAATAACCCTTTAATTTCCAGACCAAATTTGTCTAGAAACGATAATAACAAAGTAGTTTGCATTTAAAAAGCAGCAATGTTTTTATCATAACAAGGTCACCCTTTATCATCCCTCTTGTTCAGAGGCTTGGGAACCAAGCACGCAAATGTTAAAATGGACTATTACATATCAATATGATCAGAAACATAATCTTTTTTGTTTTTTCCACATTTTTTACCCTTAACATAAAAAAGATTGACAAAAACAATAGGATCTTGTTGTCATTAAGACTTCAGTCTGTCAGTGAAGTGGGAGATAAGTCCATGGAGGAAAAAGATCCTATTAGTCATGACCATGGTAGTGCAAGTTCAGGTGATGAGTCAAGACATAAATAATCCTATTCTTAAAATCTCAAGTTTTTATCATAAGCGCAAGTTCAGGTGATATTAAGAAAGTCATAATCGGGGAGAAGAAGCCATAGAGTACCTCAACCTATATCTTAAAAAAGCTAAAGAAGTAGGAGACAAGCATGGGGAGGGTGGTGCTTATGGCAATCTTGGCAATGCTTATTTTAGTCTGGGTGATTTCAAAAAAGCCATAGAGTACCACAACCTACATCTTAAAATAGCTAAAGAAGTAGGAGACAAGTATGGGGAGGGTGGTGCTTATGGCAATCTTGGCAATGCTTATCACAGTCTGGGTGATTTCAAAAAAGCCATAGAGTACCACAACCTACATCTTAAAATAGCTAAAGAAGTAGGAGACAAGCATGGGGAGGGTGGTGCTTATGGCAATCTTGGCAATGCTTATGACAGTCTGGGTGATTTCAAAAAAGCCATAGAGTACCACAACCTACATCTTAAAATAGCTAAAGAAGTAGGAGACAAGCATGGGGAGGGTGGTGCTTATGGCAATCTTGGCAATGCTTATATTAGTCTGGGTGATTTCAAAAAAGCCATAGAGTACCACAACCTACATCTTAAAATAGCTAAAGAAGTAGGAGACAAGCATGGGGAGGGTAACGCTTATGGCAATCTTGGCAATGCTTATCACAGTCTGGGTGATTTCAAAAAAGCCATAGAGTACCACAACCTACATCTTAAAATAGCTAAAGAAGTAGGAGACAAGCATGGGGAGGGTGGTGCTTATGGCAATCTTGGCAATGCTTATATTAGTCTGGGTGATTTCAAAAAAGCCATAGAGTACCACAACCTACATCTTAAAATAGCTAAAGAAGTAGGAGACAAGCATGGGGAGGGTGGTGCTTATGGCAATCTTGGCAATGCTTATATTAGTCTGGGTGATTTCAAAAAAGCCATAGAGTACCACAACCTACATCTTAAAATAGCTAAAGAAGTAGGAGACAAGCATGGGGAGGGTGGTGCTTATGGCAATCTTGGCAATGCTTATCTTAGTCTGGGTGATTTCAAAAAAGCCATAGAGTACCACAACCTACATCTTAAAATTGCTAAAGAAGTAGGAGACAATCATGGGAAGGGTGTTGCTTATGGCAATCTTGGCAATGCTTATTTTAGTCTGGGTGATTTCAAAAAAGCCATAGAGTACCACAACCTACATCTTAAAATAGCTAAAGAAGTAGGAGACAAGCATGGGGAGGGTAACGCTTATGGCAATCTTGGCAATGCTTATGCTGGCAATCTTGGCAATGCTTATCATTTAGTCTGGGTGATTTCAAAAAAGCCATAGAGTACCACAACCTACATCTTAAAATAGCTAAAGAAGTAGGAGACAAGCATGGGGAGGGTGGTGCTTATGGCAATCTTGGCAATGCTTATATTAGTCTGGGTGATTTCAAAAAAGCCATAGAGTACCACAACCTACATCTTAAAATAGCTAAAGAAGTAGGAGACAAGCATGGGGAGGGTGGTGCTTATGGCAATCTTGGCAATGCTTATATTAGTCTGGGTGATTTCAAAAAAGCCATAGAGTACCACAACCTACATCTTAAAATAGCTAAAGAAGTAGGAGACAAGCATGGGGAGGGTGGTGCTTATGGCAATCTTGGCAATGCTTATATTAGTCTGGGTGATTTCAAAAAAGCCATAGAGTACCACAACCTAGCTCTTAAAATAGCTAAAGAAGTAGGAGACAAATCCTTTGAGGCAATGGCCTACTCTTCACTAGGATGCGTTTTTGAGTTGCAAGGTGGACTGCCAAAAGCCGTTGAACATTATCAAGCTAGCATAAACTTATTCAATTCCTTGAGAGTACTTCTAAAATCTAAAGATGAGTGGAAAGTTAATTTTCGAAATCAGCATCAAATGGCGTATACGGGTTTGTGGAGAGTTCTCGTAGAACAAGGTAATGTAGATGAAGCCTTATTTGTTGCTGAGAAAGGACGAGCTCAAGCTCTGACCGACCTCATGGAATCCAGTTTTTGTGGTGGAACAAGTCACCACAAGGGAGAAGATGAAGATTTCACAGTTTTAAAAAACGTTCCATCAAACACTGTCTTTCAGGCAGTGGACAAAGCTAACGTCAATCTTTGGGTTGTGTCCGAAGGAAAACAAGTTCAGTTAAGACAAAGTAAACTCAAAGGTTTTGTTTCAGAGAATAGTGGATCTAGCCAGTCCTTTGAGTCGTTCATGCTCGGTGTCTATACACAACTTGGTGTTCGTTCTAATGTGAGATGCGAGAATCGATCTTTAGATGCTTTGAGGGAGGGCCGTTCAAAAGTGGATGAGAAAACCAAAGAAGCCAACCCTCAACCTCACATCCAACAAGACGGATGCTTGAGCACTTTGTATGATATCGTTATGAAGCCGGTGGCTGACTTGATTGAAGGGGATGAGCTACTCATTATTCCTGATGGACCCCTGTGGATCGCTCCTTACGCTGCATTGAAGGATGGTAATTCTAAATACCTGTGTGAATCGTTCACAATCCGAGTCGCTCCATCGTTAGCAAGTCTTAGACTCATTGCCGATTGCCCAGATGATTATCACAAAAGCAGTGGTGCGTTACTTGTAGGAGATCCGTGGGTATCCGAGGTTACTAACAGCGAGGGAGAGAAAGTCCTCGAGCAGCTTCCGTGTGCTAAAGAAGAAGTAGAAATGATCGGAAAAATTCTGAATATCACGCCAATCACTGGCAGACAGGCCACGAAACGTGAGGTGTTGAAAAGACTCAGTTCCGTTTCCTTAGTTCACTTTGCGGCACACGGATGTCCGGAAACTGGCGAAATTGCTCTTACACCTGACCTAGACCGAATATCTACTGTGCCTACGGAGAAGGAGGATTACATTTTAACGATTCGAGATGTGTTGAATGTTCAACTTCGCGCCAAACTTGTTGTGCTCAGTTGCTGCCACAGTGGTCGGGGCGAGATCAAGGCTGAAGGTGTGGTTGGCATTGCGCGCGCTTTTATGGGGGCTGGTGCTCGGTCTGTTGTGGTGTCCCTGTGGGCGATTGATGACGAGGCTACTCTCCAGTTCATGAAATGCTTTTATCAACACCTTGCAGAAGGTAAACCTACAAGCAAGTCACTGAACCTGGCCATGAAAAGCCTCAGAGAATCAGATGAGTTCCACGACATCAAATACTGGGCGCCCTTTTTGCTGATTGGAGATGACCTCACGTTTGACCTGATGGCAAAGGAAAGAGAAAATTTGAATAGAAAATCAAATAAATGAGGAAATGTTTTTTTCATCTCAAAAGAATGAAGCAGGAACTTGGAAGGTTTAAATGTTTCTCTATTTTAAACAATTTTTGGCTATTTTTCTTTACTTTTTGTTTTTTTGTTAAATGGAACTTGAGATGTGCAACTTTACTATGGTGAAGAAATAAACCAGTCTATTTCATTATATTTTGATCAGTGGAATTGTCATTTTTTGTTACCTTAACAAATTTAAATGCTTGCGAAGAGAACGAAATGCAACAAGGCCTCTGTTATGAACGAGGTTTCCATTTCCACCAACATGTCACTCAGCTCTGTTCCTGTATTACAATCAGTTGTATGGAAAATAATTTAAAGGTTATTTCTTTTACCCAACCAGGGGCTTTTCCACCGGATTTTAATTACCTTTATGCTCTAAGCTTTTGATAAGCAAAGAAACAATTCGTCATTTGCAAAAGTTGGCGAATTTTTATTTCCAAAACTTTGATTGAATATGTATGTGAATTGAATATGTGAATTGATCTTAGACCGTTTTCTACATCATAAATTACTTTGTTACAATTTACCTTCATCTTTACAAAAAAATTGATTACCATTTTCAACTCAATCCATTTTAATGCAATCTAGTTCTGTCAGTGCCAAGATTGCCATTCTAAGCTTAATTTGAAGAAGTAAACATCAGAGATGATGTTATTAAATTTACTAACCATATGTTAGAGACATTACACCTACTTTTAGGGGTGTAGCCAGCCTCTAGTCCCGTAGGCCCGGCCTACAATTGTTTTCTGCCCGCTTGACTTTTACTAAAAGATAATATGACTCTTGCAAATGTTGAAACAAAAATTGAAATTTGTGAGGGAAGAGGCTTACATTTAGTCAAAAAGCTGGCTACAACCCTGTTTTCAATCAAACGAGTCTGGCCAATTTTTGTCCGTTTTACCAAACACTTCTCCGTTCGTTTTAAAGAACGACGACAGAGAGGCTAAAAATTGTCCATGTAATCTAAACTAGGAAAGAGGGACGCAGAGTTCACTATAATTAAGGTTTCCATAGGTGTGACTTTTATTGTATGTGACATGGAATTTGTTGTTTCTAGTACGACAATATTTACGCTCATAAATGAGAGAAGCAGTTAACGTAAGCCATGTAGTCCTCAATGGGAATTATTTTGGTGAAAAGGCTCATTAATTAATGTAAACCTAGTGCGTAGTTGAAAACGTTCAGGGCTTCAGGATAAAACTTCTAATTGTTGAAAATCACCTCTTGAAATTTTTTCATCGCTTTAAATTTACCTCAGCATGATTTGAGGATGTCTGATAATATGCGTGGTTGAATATAATGTAACTAGGATTTTAAAGACATGCTGGGACAGTTTCAACTAAACATGGTTTGTATAATGTCAGTGTATTTCGTGTGAAGTGTTTTGATGCTATTTTTTTTTAAGTTGAAGATAATTGTTCATTTACCTTAGTTTATATTAATTAACTCATGAACTCCCAAGTTCTGAAGAAAAATTCTCCCAACTGATAAGAATGTGTCTCTCTTTGCTGCCGCTTGTTCCGAGAATTCGATGTAACATTATGTTTCTAGTAAAAGATTATCCTCCAGTTTGGATTTTCTCTAATTGTTATTGACTCCATGTTTGTCGGTGTATTAATACCGTGAGGAGAATTTAAATTATGATCAGTCTTGGGAGTAAATGGGTTCATTTTAGCGTCTCCGTTTAGCGCGTATTTTACTTAATGCCTTGAACGATTTAATGCAGTTTCTATTGTGCTTATTTTTTTACTTCTTTGTGTAAGAGAAATATACAGTGTATAAAATACAAAAACTGCGTTGATTTACATTGTCTGTCTCCATATTCTTAGGATGCACGTAAGATGTAGAGAAAGCAGATCCTATGGGGACTTCAATGCTTGTTTTGACCCGCGCGCCAAGTTGATAATGTGTGCAGCTAACAGTGTACTAACATTCCATGTTTCAAGCCCCCGCCCACTTAACAAAAGCGCGTCATCTCTTCGATTGTGTCTCTTTCACTGTCTATCGTTCTCCGTATTGCCACACGGTTTTGAACGCCGACGGACGTGTTCATACTGTTACATGTGTGCGCCTTTTTTTATCTTTTTCCTCACACAAGTTTTTACACCTTTTCACATTTGCGCATCCTTTTTTTTTCTCCTTCCTCTGGTTCCTTCTTTTTTTTTTTTTTTTTTTTTTCATCGCAATTTTCCTTTATTCCCATCTTTACGCGCACCTCTTTTATCGCCCTCAACTTTATTCTTCTGCGCGCTTCATAGGACGCGACTATCTCCTTGTCTGTTTCAGTTTTCACTCGTCTCAATCTTCGCGCAACGTCAGGCTTCTTACAACTCATATACCTCGTTACTCCCCCATAGTAGTTGTGATCATGCGTATTATGTCCACTTTGGGATGGTGTCCTCTTAAAGTCATCTCTAGTAAAATCTCAGTTTTCCTTTCGATTGATTCCTAGTCCACAGGGTGCCAGTGCTTGCTCTCCTCAGTCCTCTCATCATAATAGCAGTTATAAAGCGGAAGAGCTCCCTCCAAGTCTCGGCGACATAATCGGTGCATTTTGTTGGAAACGAGTCCCTCAATGTCCAAATTAAGGCCTCTTCTATCATCTGATTGGGAATGGGTCAAACTCTCGCCCAGGGTCCACCTACAATGCGAATCCAAGATGGCGGCAGGCCAATCCACAGCCGGACTCTACTGAGTCGGTAGCCGCCATCTCGGATGTAGACGCAGAGAAGACCCTGAGGAAGAGTTTTGACAAAACAATAATTAAGAAAGGATAAGTTACAATAGTGCTTAGAGAGATAGCCGATGACAACTTGAGAGATTCATCATGAGCAAACACGTTCCGTCGATTATTAAACTCCATGTCTCCTCGAATACGCACTCCTATATGCCCCTCTTCCCCGTCCCTATACATCCCTGTGCTGCAAGTTTTATCATCATACAGCACAATACAACATTATACCCCTGAGTAGCACTGTAAATCCGTAAAATGCAGTAACTAGACAACGCTTCACAACAATATGTACCCCTAGATAGCACTATGCTTCCCTCTACTGAATTTTAAATCACCATACAGCGCTATATAAACAATTTCTCCAATTTGGCGCCAAAATAAGTGCAAATATTTGTCCGCGGTCATTTTCTCGAATTTTCTGTTCCAAGATGCGGAAACTGTGAGCTTCGAGGAACAGATAATATCCAAGGACAAATATCCGTACATATTTTCGCGCAAAATAGACGCTATTGTGTTTTTTATCCTTCAAATATTTTGCAACGCACGTGAAAAATGTTAATGAACAGCTTACTGAATTGAATACTCGATGAAAATCTCTGCGTCGTTTAAAGGAAACACAGCATTTTCCAGCGCAGTCATGGCTAACGTAAATCTGCAGTTTAAGTGAAAAACAGAGATCGAGAGTTGATTCGTCGAGCGATTGCAAAGGGCAAACGCTCGAAACGTGAGAAATATTTCGTGGGCAATTAATCGATTCTTGATAATACTAACTTACTCTGAAACATTAATTTTCAAACGAAGACTTATCGTGGTGGACGTAAGGTTATGGAAATTTGGGAATATCATTTGGGTTATATTCTCGATATCACGTTTACTTTAGCATAATATATTCAGTCACTTGCTGCGTTTAGACCAATTCGCCGAGCATTTTGCCAGTTGATGGATCAAAGAAATCAAGATAGTACCCCAACAAGACACAGCTACAGTGTTGTGAATCTTCATCCTCATCTTCTGAACTATGTTTACACGAAGATACAGCGCTATACAACAATATGTACCCCTAAGTAGCCTTGATCGGCATAATAGAATACATACATCAAAATCTTCCAGCCTCACGTGCCATGTTTTATCTCTTTTTCCAAAGTTCATTAAATACTCGATGAAAACCTCTACGGCGTTTAAAGAAAACACAGTATTTTCCAGCGCGGTCATGACTCGTCTGACGTGAAGATACAGAGATCGAGAGTTGATTACGGCTTCAAGTTTCAAACTCTTAAAGGCGGGAAATATGTCTTGAATTCTTGGGTTGGACTCAAAAAGTCTGAAACAAAATCATTCATGATCATCGTTATCAATTCTGAATAATTGAAATTCGATTCACGTTTACTTTAGATAATAAATTTTACTCCCATTTTGCCAGTTATACAAAGAAATCAAGACACTGAGCAATACCCACAACAAGACACAGCTACAGTGTTGTGAATCTCCATCCTCATCTTCAACAGAACTATGCTATCACGAAGATAGTGCGCGTGCGTTTGCATTTTGAAGTCACTTTAGCACAAAATAATGACCCGATTGGCAAGAATACAGGCTAAACACGCAACAGCGTTGGTGCTTTTTGTATTTTGGCGTTTGCTCTCTAAAAAGCCCGAGAAAACGTTTTCACTGTCTTTTAAACTGTTGATTGTATTCATTTCTCGGGTTCTTCTTTAAAACCGGAGCTCAGTTTTTAGCGACTTGTTTTAGTACTGCACTAGTTAAGATAACTTAACTTTTTATACAATAGGAAATAGACGAAGAACAGGTGGCGCCTTTTAAAGGACATTAAACACGTTATGATAAGTCTGCAAATTCTTTAGAGAACAATAGTCTTTTCAACAATTCATAAAATTCGCAGTTCGAGAAGATTATAAACCGTTTCATTTGGTGTTTTGCATTTGGAAAACTCATTTCTATTTATACGATGACTACCTTTCTCACAAATTGAAAATTATTCTGAACCTGGTCAGCTCAGAGGTGATTTAGACAGTAAAAATAATGTCAGCAAATATAAACAGCTACTGATCCATTTTTGTAAACTTATTAAATAATGACTTGGATATCAAACTGGCTTTTTTTCTCTTCCTCATTTTTCAAAATGATAACTATAAATGTTTGAATGACCGAATTTTTCCCCTGACGGGCTCCGTTCACGAGTGACCTATGACATGTGCTAAAATTAAAAAAATGCCTGTTATAGTCGGTGAACGCCGGAACATTTTTCAAACAAATTGAGTTTGAAAGATGCACGCATTTAGTGAGCACTGCATTTACTGCTCTAGTGACAGTTGAACAACATTTTAGGTTTTTGAAAGCTTATTCTCAATGGCATGTCGCGCTCTGTGTTCAGAAGATAACTTCCATGTTTTAGATCACGCCTCCACCGGTTTTCAGATTAAGATAAAAGAGGCTATTCATATTCAAAGAGAACAACCATCTTTGAATCAACAATTACACCATGTAAATCTAAAACTATCTTTTTAATTCTCACACTTGCATGCTTTACCTCTCTTCTTGTTGTCACTATTCATCTTAATTAGCATTGTTCTACTTACTATATAATTCAACTTTCAACGCTTTGTACAGAAATTAACTGAAGATGACAGAAGTTTCTGTCGAAACATGTTTTACAAACTCAAAAGTTTTGTCGCTTTCTTTAAATTCTTGACTTGCCTGCTAATATCAAGACCCTTTAAAACACTTACCGTTTAAACACTTTCTTTCCTATGACGCTCTTAATGGGCTCAATGAGCTGCCAAAATTCTCTTAAAATGCATTTTTGTTCGTGTGATAGCGGAATGTCTCTGATTCTCGAAGTCGATGTTGCCGCAGCAACTGAGACTTCTATTTCGATTCTGTTATTTCGCGACGCAAAACAACCCATGGCATTTACAGTTTGACTGTTAAACCTAAAATGAAGATGTGTAGACACTAGCTGAATAGATTAATGAATCCAGCTGCTTTCCCTTAAGAAAGCTGTCATACGCTGTGATGATGGGTGATGTATAAAAACTCTGACGTTATCTGTGCAAAACGTTTGTCTTTATATCGACCAACATCTTGACTTGTTGTTCACACTAACTGAAAAGGGAAAAATTCCGAATTTCTGCTTGAAAAAACTGCCGTTTGGTCGAGAAAGAGCAGATATGCCCTGTCTCCACCAAAAGCCTTGATATTAAACTTAGTGATTCGTGCATGAGTGAAAATTGGAAAATTGTTTAACATTTTGACAGACAAGAACATACTGGCAACAACTCAACACTTCAGCTATAAATTTGCATTTTGAATATGGTAATTGTGTCTTTGTACTACCAGTTAAGCTTCTGAGTTGTTCCCCTGACATGTCTCGAGCCTAAAACTGTTGCCGAACAGTCTCCCTCGGCGATTGGGCCTCTAGGCATCTAACCTTTCTCTATAGTGTTGGTACATGGCATTTGATGATGAGGTATTATGAAATGTTGTTACTATTATTAATTTGCAGATGTCGTTGGACTAACTATCAGCGATATTGATGGGAAACCGCTAATTTTCAAGCACAATTAAAGTTCTATAAGTATAGACAATGTGCAGTTATACGCCATACTTGTGTAATTAAAAGAATTCATTTCGCGAACTTTCCTTCGTTCTTCAAACCACTAATTTTCTAATATTTATGCGGTACTTTCATAATTTATTCATTACAATTTCGTGCAAATGTAAAACGTAGATTAAAGCTGGCTCGATCTGTCCTCATGGGACATCCGGTGAAAACGTGTGAATCATTACATTGGTGCAGAGGAATTATTTTTCTGTAGTTATTCCGACATCCCTCAACGCACAAATTCAGGCGAATTTACTCATTCTATAAGTCGCGAAGTCGGAAATTAAGAGCGTCCCACCTACCAGAAAAAATTGATCCGTGGAACATTTGCGCTAAAATGTCCGAAAAATTAATAATACCTGTACAAGACAAAGGGATTTTTGATAATATCTTTGCTTCGACTAGTCAAATGATGATATGAGCCCTTGATGTGACATAATTATAAATGACGTCATAAACTTGGGCTCCAGGCCTCTGCAGTGATCATGATGCTGACGAATAATACAATGAACTTATGTCTGTAACGTGAAAACTTTACATTTTGGGATTTTAAATTACGCTTTGACATTAGTTCATGTCTTGTGTGAGCAAATTTTTTTGGTTTGAGTCGATGAAATTATCTGCTGAGAACTTCTATTTACGATTTCTTGTTCAACCCGACAGAAAACAAACGAAGGAAGGAAACCGTGGAGAACAATTCTCAAGCTAAATCTTCACGCCACTCAATGATGTTTTACAATGTAAAAGGGAAGAAGAGCTCAAAAGAAACTTAGGAAAGAAAGCAGGCCAGGGACACGCTCCAGAGGTTCAAAAATGGTGAGGATCTGAGCGGTAATTATAAACGACAACATAAAACATTAAATCTAAACTACCATAACTTACAACTTAGTTCTTTTTTATTTATTCAGCACAACGCTTAAAAGGAGAATTGAGAGGTATGTATCTTTGCATCATAAAGAGAGTGGCTTTCTATTCTCGAAACCCCCACGGATTACTGCTGCTGGAGTCTGTGCAAGGTCAGTCCAACTAACCTGAGGTCGGTATATACTCATTGCACACCTCATGAGAAAATGATGGGACAGGGAGGGAAAATCAGGGCGTTGGCTAAATATATCGATTTCAATTCAGTTATTTTTAGATTGAAGCGGGAAGCATTGTGGTTTCCTAATTTAGTTTCTTTATTGCCAAAGTCTAAGATTAAAAGAGCCAATCTCCTCGCTGTTTGCCAATACATCAATTGTATTCACTGGCGACTGCGGCTTACTGAGAGAGGCTGAATGTTTTTCGACACGAATGCGATGCGTGACATGTGCAAGTAAAAAAAAAAACATGACAACCGTTCAAGACTGAAAACTATGAATAATACTGTCCCATTATTTTCCGTTGACGTCTCTAATGCACGCAAATCTAATAAAAGGACTGTTAAAGGGCTGTGAAAGAGATTGGATAAGTTGTTGGTAGGATAAGATCGTAGCTATTCTGAGTCACTATGACTTGAGGTGGCAAAAGTCATCTGTTTGTGCTTGTGTCATTACTTTAATAGAAGAGATTCTTCCATAGTTGAAAGGTTGAAAATATATCGATGAAAAGCAAAACAATAGTTTTCTGAATGCGAAATCCTTCGTACGCTTTAATCTTTAGTTCAGTATATATGTCCTATATTTGTACGGGTACTTCAAGGAATGGCGTCAAAATCCACGGTGGTCCCTCTCCTTCATCCTGGCCTTGCTCCTCCCCCTCAGTGGCCTGCAGGCGGAAGTGACCGGTATAGTTGAGACGAATGTCCTTGATAATCAGCTGCAAACAGGATAAGTGGAGATGCCCACTCTTGTAGGTGCGGTAAAGGACAACTGCAGTGGTGTCGTTGATGTTACACTCGAGGAAGGTGAACAGTAACAAAAACCATGTCCAGGGAAGGTGAAGAAATTGGTAAACACAAGATCGCTAAGGTGTTTCGCGATCGTGGTAGCCAGACGAGGTTGCGTTCACAATCTATCTCTGGGGACGCAGAGAGTTTGAATTCACATTTCCAATTCCAAGTGAGTTGAAAACGCGCGCAAATGTTTTAAGCTAATTTTACAAAGTTATTGTTCATTAAACTGAGCTACGCTGACAGTCTCCTTCATAGGAGAAAGCAATTTAAAACTTTAGCATGGAGGCTACGCGTACTCTTTTTTAGGAACTAGGGAAGGAGCGCCAAGGAAGACTTTTTAGTTGATTGATGTATGTCTTCACTAAACATTTTTTGTGACTCATGTCATATTAATTAATGTTCACCTCTCCTTTTCAGATTTTCGTTATCCACGCATATACACCCGTCAAAGGATTCTTTACAAAACGATTTAATCTAGTAGAGTATCTCTATCTAATCCGAAGAGCTAATGATAATTCTATCACTTCAAGAGACTTTAACCCTTTAACTCCCAAGATCTGATTGTTAATTCTCCTCTCTCGCTGCTACACATTTCCTTTTAAATTGGTTACGAGAATTTGGTGTTAGATCATAATAATGACTTCTACCTGATAAGTTTGGGTATTCTCATTACCTGTTTGCAAAATACTGTATAGTTATAATAGGGAGAAGTTACATGTTAATCACTTCTGGAAGTTAAAGGGTTTAAAGTTATTTAATTAAGGCAAACACAAGGTAACTGTTAGATAATCCTTAAGTAGTACATGTAATGTTATTCATATGTTATGCATGTAATGTTTCACTATCTTCGATTGCTGAAAGGTGAATAAGCGCATTGAAATCAAAATTGATTTCCTTCAGGCTCTGCTCACTGAACTACAAGTCTGCTGTCAGGTGACTAACGTGGACGCTATTTTAGTCCCTTAAATTTCTCATTTTTCAATATATGCGTCAGCAACTGAAATTAGATTCATGAAACAGGGACGCATTTTGGAACAAAAATCATGGCAATAACTGGTGTCGGTCGCAAAGGTACAACGGACGATTACTGGTCATTCTGATTTTTCGGTCATTGCTAACGTAATTTAATTTTAATTGCGGTCATTAAAGCATCATCCTAGGCAGACCCTTGCAAAAGTTTCACCAAAACTGCAGAAACGTGAAGATATTGGCTTAAACGCACAACATTGGAGTTATATCAAGGTGAAAAAATAAATTTTGATTTCAATCCAGCCTTTTTAATTTTCTCAAACACACTTGCAAGTGCAATGACAACTGAATGTTCTTAATAAAGACGAAAGACGGCTGCTCATCCCATTTGGCGCAATTTTCGATCGAGCGTCGAAAATAATCCGAGATTTACTTCGCCACGCTCTGTGATTGGTACAGAAAACTCTCGCTCCTTTCGCAACCAATCAGATGCAACGCTAAACCCAATCGTGACTTGTACCCTCGCGTGTTCCCGCGATTTTTGCAGTCTGCTTTTTTCTTCTTTGAATTCATATTGGTTCTTTGAGATAACTTCCTCTTCTCTGATTGGCTGAAGAAATTACTTCGGCTTTGATTTCATGACACTCAATTACTTTTGGTAATTCTGTTTCTTTCTCTCTATGCGATCGACAGAGAAAATGGCTTTGTGTAAATAGCCTGTAATCCTCGCTCTCTTTGTTACGTACTTGGTCAGGAGATTCAAAGGATTGCTCCTAATCTAATGGATGAGGTATTCGCCGTAAACAGTGTTTTCGTGTTTTTCAAGCGAAATTGTTAGTTATTCAGTATTTGTTTTCATATGATAACATATGCTTTTAAACCCTGATGATCAAAAATTCATTTTATTTTTAATACTGGAGACTTGCTCTCTTTCCTTCCCAAGAAGCTGAGGCGTAAGGATCAAGAGAAACCGAATGGAAGGTATGCTGAAAAATTATAACAGTACCAGGGTAAACTGTATTGATCATACACGATTGTCTGGTGATCAAAGAAACCAATCACAAGTGCCACATACGTAAAAGATGGTTTAGCTTACGGCGAAGGCACTTAAAGAGCGTGTTACTGTATTTACCATAACAGTTGTAATCTTTTAAGTTCTCAAGAATAAGAATTAGGGTAAAAAAAACTACCGTATATTCGGTTAAAAGTGATGGAGTCTTTCGACCGCTTAGGGGTGCAGCTGATATCAATGGGAAACTCTTTGTAATATTTTTCTTATATTTGTTTCATTATAAGGTCAACTTAATTTTATCTTATCCTAGTCAGGTGGTGTTGACATTGCCATGACAACTTGTATTGAGATACGCCGGCCACTGTTACAGGAATCAGCCGATTGCTACTGGCACTTTTTTCCAGGACAAAGACAAAGAAATCCGTATCATGTAAAACTCTCAGCACTGGCTTTCAGTTTGTTGTTGCTATGGCAGCTAGTTGGAGCATTTTTGTACATGGTTCGTGATGTTGCTTGCTTCCGGGACAAATCCACTGCATATCAGTGCAAAACAGATGCGGCTTTCCCTTTTTCAGAGGATGTCACGATGGTGTGGCTGGCTTCGCTATGTATTTTCACCGCTATCTCTATAGCTGCCCTTCAGAATGTTCCGCAGTTCCCCGGTTACAAGGCAATCTTACATCGGCTCAAATACGTTCCTTCATTTTGGACTTTAATAATCCTTTTGACCGTCGCCTTGTTTCGATATGTTAAGCTACTAATTTCTATCAAATCTTTGTCATCTTGGGTCGTAATTGTTTGCTTGATGGTAAGTTACATTCTGAGAACTTTGGTCGTGGGATTTTTAAATTACACCAGGTTAAACTCCCTAAAGCAGAAATATCCCATTTACATTTTTGTTATATCTAAACTGACAGTGTTCTTGTTTTTCATTGTTACCTTTATCAATCTCATGGCTACCCTTTTGGCCCTGAGTGTGGAAATCCGCGAGATGCATAAAACAGATCGAGCTAAGAACTCGCTCGATTTGAATTTGGATACCGTAAACGAACTGCTGGAGGTCTTTGGTACAACCACTTTTAGAATTAAGTTAATGAAATTCTTTTGGGAAAAGTTTTTCATCGACGACAGGAACATTCTTTGTTTCCATATACCTTTGGAGTGAGAAAGACAGCGAAAATCGAGAGAGTTTCATTCTCGTCCTCAGAGCCACTCGTTTTCGCTTACTCTGATCACTTGACAAGCTCACTGAAATGATTGCGCTCACTTAGAGCGCAAAAAGTTTTGCCTTTTTTTTTTTTTACAATTCCTGCTTCTTGTTGTTACGCCTTACCTCTTATGTAGATTAGTTTTTCAGCGATTTTTTTTTTCTAGTTAAATGTTCTAAATTTGTATAATTTATTACCTTGTTTTAATTGTTAATGTTGGAACAGTGCGACACATGAAAGACGCAGTGTGTATTTTGAACCACAAAGCCATAATTTCGTCATACTATACAGCAGAAGCTCTCCACTTCCGGTTTTCCGTGTCATGTACATCAAGCTTGAGCCTCGGTTTTTCCCGTGAAAAAACAACTCCTAATATTAGGCAGCAACGCTGTCGGCAAGTTTGTAGTTTGGGTAGTTGTCTTGAGATTTCGCGTTCGATAACGCTTCTGTTAATTTTATTTGGACCTTACTAATCTTAATGAGTTCCTTTGAGACATTCCCAGAACGGATTGAGGTGGCAAGGTTGTAAAAAAAGCTTATAGAACAGTCAAAAGTCGCGTCCGTTTACCCGACAGGGTGACTTAACCAGGTTGTGTAGGATCTTTATACATCGGGTAAATGCCTTTATTTTGATCTTAAATTAACTCTTTTCATGGATTTTCTTTGATTTCTGGTGTTGTGAAAGTCTGCTACAACTACCGATGATTGCTAAGTTTAATTTGAATACTTCGTTGCAGAGAACTGCCGCTCCGCGTTAGTTTAAAACTTACCTTAAAATGCTGAGGAATTGACAAAATATGTCAGAAAAGTAACAGTATTTTGTGAATGAGTGCGTGACTCTATATCAGCAGAGAGCGAGACCGCGTGAGAACTCGCAGGAATGGAGGTGCTTCGTGACAAAAGTCACGCACTTCCGGTTTTAAGCTTGCACAGAGTTATGGACTAGGGGACTCCCCCTTTCGTTTTTACAACGCGCAATTAAGATTCTTCGTTCTATAACGAAGCTGTCGACTCTCTCTTGGTACTTTCTCAGTCTTAGTGACTTTTTTTTAAAACACTTCCATGATGGATTGAGGAAGCAAGGTCGTAAAGCAGTCAAACGTGCCTTCCATTTCCTCGACAGAGGTAAGAACGCATGGTTGTATCAGATTTTTGAATGTAAGGTAAATACTGTTATTTCGAATTTCTCAGTCAACATTTTCTCCCTCAAATGCTCTTAATCTGTCCTAATTTTCTCTGATCTCCGGCAGTGAAAGACGTTCGTGCAGTTAACTAACGAGGATTGCTAACTTTTACTTGATTCTGGGGTGTATCAATTGTATTACCGCTTCGTGTTATTTAAGAGCTAATTAAGCTGAGCTTGTTTGAACAAGTTACAGCTGTCGAATTCACAAAAATTCGCAGGCGATACCCGGCATTTACCTTGGATAAAATAAGTAATTCGGGAGAATTAAAAGGAATATTAAAGTCATTGATTTGATTTTGTGCAGGCGCTGATGATCGGAACACTTTCAGTTTCGTCTGCGTGTCTTGCACACAATCATGATCGTGTTTTGCACTAGCTTTCGTGTCAGGCTAACATAAGTATTAATTTAATGTGCTCCCCTATTTACGATGCATTTGATCAAAAACCTATAAACATTTCCAGCTTATTTCACGTGTTTATGTTTATTATTTCATACAGTTTAAAAGTAATTTTTTTCCTTTTTTGATAGACTGCTTAGATTCTCCCTTTTAACTGTACTGCTATACTGATTTCCATGTTAAATATTGAGAAACGATGACTTTTCTTCAAATGTCACCTAGTCATTTATTGGAAGTGTCCTTTCAACTAACTGCCTTTGATTTTTAGGATTCCAATTCATCAACTGATAATGATAGATTGGTATCTGAGTAAAGTTTACCTTTAAATGGGTAGCAGAAATTAGCCAGGTAAGCCTGATGAAATGCCAGGGGGAAAGGGGATGGACTAGCATCCCATCCAAGGGGTGTAGTTACTCCCACTCACTTCATGTGAGGAAACCAGTATTATAAGCTCAGGGCCTAGATGGGCGACTGCTCAAATACAGACTTTACCCGACTACCTCAGCCTCTTAAATAATTTGAATTGCTGTTGCAACAAATTATATGAACTTGCAACACTTGCCCAATTTATTTCAGTCAATTGAAAATGTATTTTATAAATATTGAATCATATTTTAGTACATATCTTTGTTCTTTTGCTGCTTTTATAGTATGACATTAATTGCTTGTGATTTTGTGTCTATGTATCCCTCCCATTCTCAGAAGGGAAAAAAAATTTATTTTACAACTGGGAATATGTTGAGCTGATGTTTATTACCATTTGCAACCAACTTTCTTTCAGGCCAGGATAACTTGAAAGCAGCACCTTTGTAAGAAGCATCAGTCTTCTTACAGTTGCTATGGCTACAGAAAGAAGTCCAATTAAAGTTCCATGTGAAAATGAAGACTTACCTGAAAAAGAAAATGCACCAGATTTTGATGAGGACACTTTGCAAGGTGAGCTGTGTTGAGCTTCAGCTTCAGTTATTGTTAGAACTTCTTCTATTCCACCATTTTCAAGAATGTAAGCAGATGTGGAGAAGGATATAATTATACACTGTATTAATACTTTAAAAGATATTTGGCCAGTTATGACTCTCTTCTATGATTATAATATGCTGTTCATTTAGAGGATCTATGACACAGAAACCTTTGTTATTTTCTTTTCTAAAAGTTCAAAGCAAGTACACTGTACACAAAGTTATAATAAGTAAATACTTTATTTGATCATGGTACAGCATCCATTTTGTAAGTTTGCATCATAGT